GCGGAGCTCCTAAGTGTGCGAACTGAAGCACAATTTTGGGCCCCCCAAACGATACGTGGCGAGTGATTAGATAGGTGAGAGAGCGTAGTGTTGAAGAGGGCACAGCGATGATAGTCGCATCAATGCTCAAATCAACGGGCAAGGAAGGGGTCCCATTTCTCAGGTTCTGGGCCGTTTCTCATGGTTTTCCTTCTTTAGTGTACCACTCACCATCGCTAAGTTAATTTGAAATGGGTTGCCTTTCCAGCGTGAATTCGTCCTTTAAGCATATTGCGACATCCACATCACTAATCTGAAGGAAAGGCTTCCGCTTGACCTGGATTGGACCGACGCATTCTCTCCTGTAACGGGTAGCAGTGCAGAAAAAAATCTGTTCTATCAAATATCCAAATCTGAATCCTCTCGAAACGGTTTTTTGAATTTCTGGGACGAAAATCGTAAAAAAGAAAAACACCTGCGTGACGCACACTTTGCCTTTGCCAGAAATTTGGTGCCCTGTGCGAATTCTAGAGGCGATCATTTTGAAAATCGCTGATATGTTTCATGTCATTTACTAGCAATATTCGTGATTAGAATTGATTTCCGCAAGTTAGCCTTGAAATGCAGTGATATATTAGTGCATCAGTGATTTCACCCCGCCCTGTATTCTGAATCCTCATACTACTTCTTTCCACACAGGAACAGTTTTTTGAACGGTACCGCTGGAACGGATATGATACCTAAACTACCAAAAAAAAAAAAAAAAACCAAAATTATAAAACAAAAAACTAAAGAGCTATTGAATCCCACCCCTTTGAATCATAATTCTGAAGAGATACACTCACTAAATTGTGATAAAATAACAATCAATGGTGTTACATCCGGAGAAAACCGTGCTAAGAGGATAGCTCATTTATACCTCTCGATAACTCTTGGTTCCCTAAATACATTTTAATTATTTCGCTTGAATGCCGAGGCATTGGCATAAACCAAATAACTACATTATACGAAAGTAAAAATTGTCGTTGTCTAGCGTGTAGTGGTGGCAATACGCCCTGTAAGCAGAGGTGTGAGTTAGAGTCCTCTCCCGAAGTGCTTCGACGTCACCACCATACTCTCGCTAGTTATTATACCTTTGTTGTTTGTTTGAAAAATCAAGTTTTTACCTTGCCTCGGATTTATATTGAAAGTCATGAGCCAGAAAACTCTGGGACCAAATATGCAATAATTGCCGAGGAATTTTTAACCTACAAGTTTCAGACCGGAACACAGGTGTGTCTTGTGTGGTATGTGGTGTGTTCGGTGTTCTCATTGCTGTTTGGCATGCGATCCACTCTCACATGGCTCATCGTTCCGATTTGTGTCGTCATCCTGGGAGTCTACGCGATTAATTAGTAAACGCCACAAATACCTCTATCCATTCCTTATTATTACGGTGAGTATATCCTATCCTATTATCCTTTGGTAGTTAACCTCAAAAAAGTCACCTAGAGGTGATGGAACAGTAGCAAAAAGGGCTGCTTCCAGGGTCACCTGTCTGAACCAACAAGGTCATGTTTGGAGTTTTCGCATGAAGTTTTATGGGATCTCTAAAATCTGGTAGCTGCTGCGAGGGGAATCGTGTCGCGAACTCCAAACAAAAGCGTTCTAAAGATTTTGAATCCCCACCGCATCGCGACCGGCTTTGACGGCCGAGCCGCGCCATTGAATTTTCCGAGGAGTCAATTCCTGGACCTATTCCATGCTTCTTTCCAACTGAAGCCGCTTAACCAGTGCCAAAGTGGTTCGCACAAGAGACACACTTGTGTATTGTTTGGCTTTATAACAGACGCATCAAGCCGATTGGTATTTGTATCTGCTAACACATGTGTATGTAAGTAAAATGCATGGCCCATCTGACAAGAGCTGATCATCGACGAGGAAGAAATAGCGCTAGACAGATATGAATGAATGTTGTACAGTTGTACAGGGAGAACTTTAGTGGAAAGGGTAAAGGAGTGTCCAATTAGACGATAGGTGCCGCTCTCGTGACGGAAGCCACGGTGTCAACAGCGTGACAAGGAATTTGCCTCAATAACCTCTCCGGTTCTCGGAACACGCTCAAAACAGAAAGGGTCGACAACGGAAATGTTATTTAAAATGTAACCGTCCTCATTATCCTCTTCGATTCCATGTCTATAGCTAAGCGCACCGACGCACGAGTAGCGCCTATTGGACTATATCGTAGTCCAGTGGTTTTAACTTAAACGCAAGCGACCCTCTATGTAGCGTGAATTTGTAACCCCCCTCCGCGCGAGACTACAGGTGGAAAGATGATTTCCGCTCGGTTTTCGACCGCTTTCTCTTTTTTGCTCCACAGATGTAGGCGGTTTGCATCCCTAGTCATAATTCGCGATATAACTAGAACTGCCCCCACTGCCTTAGCCATCTTTTCCCGTCCAGAGTACGTCGATGGTCGTAACTGAAAAAATCCTTGACTGTCGGCTCTCCGATTTCGAAGCAGAGTAAACAGCTTCCCCTTATCCTAACAAAAGTCGCTAAGCGTAACCGAAGATGGCACAATGGCAAGTCACCCCACATGCCTCGATTTTCAGATAGTCCAGCAGCTGGTGTGCATGATGATGGCGACTATCATCCTAATTTTCTCATTTATTTCCTTCGATACAATGCGGCAGATCATCGGTACGTCTCCTTGCATATCATTATATCATCACTTGAAGCTGACTAGGAAATTCAGGTCATTCCCTGGATTTCGACACCCCACCGTCGACGAACATGGCCCTGGCGGTGATTGGGGGCACTGTGGCCGTCTGCGTGGTTCTTTCATTTGTGCACATATGGCAGGCTGTTATCATCTATAGGTAAGTCCAAGTCCTGGCTCATGGTCAGATAAGCTCGTAACGCAGAGCGCTCACTGATAATCTGATCCTAATCCGCTTAACAGTGAGCCATGAACTCTTGTATTCATTCATAGACCTCTCGTGATGCATTCGACAACGTTCTTCTCCTTAGCTTAGCCATTTTGGTAGTACTCTTCGAACTCCTACTAGCGATTACGGTATGACGTACCACAAAACACCCGCACTTTGTATGCAGCCAAGGCCGAAATGAGTAGCATTCTCAGAAAGCCGCTATTCTGAGCCAACTTGTGACAAATGGTTCCCCTGAGAAATGCTTGAAATTCGTTATGTTTCGCAAACACTCCGATAGCGAATGGCGAGAAAGTTCAACTGAATTTCCATAAAGGAAGCATCTCTTAAACTTGATGGGGCTGCCGACTAGAATAAAAGTGGCTCGAACGGTTATGAGACGTTTTTGTAGATAGTCCCGTTAACAAACAACATACTACAGGAAGAGGGGGGGGACAAAGAAACTATTCTGCGCATCGTCCGGCCTTCAGCGTTTTTTTTTTTTCGTCGCAAGAATTGCCGTCGTTAAAGCAACTTGATTGCAACTTTCCATCAATTGTCCCTTTCTGTGACGCAACCTCCTTCACTGTCATCGCCGTTTTCAAGATATGACGCTCATTTGCCATCGCTGTCAACCGCTCAGTGAGACCCTACCCCGTAATTGGCTTAGCCTGGCTCTTATATACATACATAGGTCTCGCTCTCGCTTAACTTTCTGTTGTTAACCCTTTGACGACCGCGCGCTCTAAACGTGTCTAGCGTGTGGGACCGCACGCCAGACACGCATGTGGCCCGCCGGCGGGCCATACGGTCCCAGGAGACCGCATTTTTGCTTAATTATAACAAGCATTGACTAAACTGCAAACTTTCTACAGTAAATCATCTTACTAATCAACCATACATTCTAACGCAGACAGACTATCAGCGAAGTAATGAAGAAGACTAATGAAAAAGACCTCAGAATTCATAAGTGTTTTGATGGTACTGTTGAAGTAGCAGTCACTAAAAACAATCTGTTTTCTTGCACAAAAACTTGCATTCAAAAAATTGACTAGATTTTAATACAAATGCTTCTTCCAGCTTCTTTCTTTAGCTAGCATGGTGTCGATAATAAGTAAACTTATTCACTAGACGGTTACTACCACACGCCACACGCTGAATTCCAATTTACTTCGATGGGAACCTTGGGTATGGTTAGGGTTTTTGAAGGCAGCCGCCTGCTGCACCTGGTAGACCTCCAACTTTTACTTACACCTTTATTTGTATTAAACCTACTTGACAATATTTTTCACAAGACCAAACAGTTGTCGTGCAGCCCGCAACGAATAGGTCCTATCGACCCAATCATGCAAGGAATATTAGTAGTGTGGTAAAAATTGGCACAAGGACTACTGCTCCGATTTTTCAAAAACTACCTGCGTGCGTTGCGTTCTTATTCTTGGATATAATGATGCTATTTTTGCTGATATTAGCAATAGAAGTGTGTTTGTTACTATTGTCTTAGGGTTTCTCCTTAGAAGAATGCAATCAGTGGACCACTGTGTACATAGCGTTGTTAGGGCAATGTGTATATATTTAGTCATTGAGAATTTCAAAAATGTCAAAACGGAGGAAATACAAGAAATCGGTTGCCATGGCCCGCCGGCGGGCCATACGGTCCCACACCGACCGACTTGGTGTGGCCCGCCGGCG